TATAGAATCTTGCATGTTTTCTTTACAGGAATGACGATATAAATATAAGTACATTATTGATGGTGAATGGACGCACAACATTACGAGCTTTTCACCTTTCCCAACAAGGATGCTCATGTCAACAACTATGTTCAAGTAAGGTTTAGCTTCGAGTGTTGAATTTGCAAATTATTAAAGAGAAAATAGTAAATTTGAAGTAGATCCAAAAACACAACTGAAAGTTGGATTTGGTCCACTTATTTGTTGTTATCAGGGACGGATCCAGAATTTCAAAAAGGTTAAATATCTTTTTTGTCCCTAAGTTTTATGCGAAATTTCAATTTGGTAATTGACAAAAGAATTTAACCAAATTAGTCAACTTGACGTTAGTTTAAGTTAATTTATTGTGTTAAATATATTTTTTGACACTAGATTTTACAAGAGATTTTAACTTGGTCATTGAAAAAAAAATTCAAAAGCCATAGAAATGCTATCCTATGCAGTCTGAGTACAGAGGGATTTTCAAGGTGTTTGTGAAGTACTAGAGTTGAGGTGATCACTTGTTGAAATTGGGTTTACACCGAATGTTGCTATAAAGCTCCACTATGATAGTCAGTCTACTATAAAGCTCCCGACTAATAGCAAGTGAAAAGGGAACGATGGCACATATAAGGCAGTGAACTCAACATTTGTTTTGTAGCAAGAAATTTAATATTTCCCTGTTCTAAAACTGAGACATCAATACCATTAGCTACAAAGACAAATTGAGACTTAGTGAAAAATCAAAAAGATTTTGCGTTTTATTCGTCATGTGATTGATGGCTCCCAAATCTATAACCCAAACATTTGACATGGAGATGAATCTATATCTGTCAACCACAAAGCCAAGACATCCCCAGAATGTAGATTGTAACAACAAACAAAGTTCGTTTCTATTCATGTCTGGTCTAAGCAATTCTTGATGTTTAATGGCCTTTGGCTGCCTCATCTTCCTTGCCAGTGCAGGAGACTTCGACGACACGAGAGAAACTTTATTAAAAAGAAAAAAAATCAAACTATGGGACATGAAACCTGACCCCAATTGTATCCATCCTATGGAGGGCAAAAGTGCAAATTCCTCTTGGGGGATCTGCAGACCAATTGACAGAAGAATGCGTTTATTGTATAAATGCTTTAAGCTATTTGAGGCACAAGCATATTTAGTTTGCTTTAATCTCCTAAAATGTATTAACTATTTAGCAATTACTGAAGTAAACTTTATTTATAAAAAAAATTATGATATTTACAAACTACTTTTACATGACACCAATACAATAGTTGATAATTAAAGAAGTAAGGCTGACTGTTTAAATCTTTGTTATCTCATGAACTGAAATTATTCATCAATTTAATTTTTCAAATTAAAAAAGAAAAGAGAAAAACAAACCTCCCTTTAATTTGAGACACATTCTCTTATTATTCTCATACGCATATTATTATCAAATCAATCATCTATCTATATATATAAAGCAAAAGACAGAGAATGGTAAAACATTCAAAATGCCAGAAAATGTCCTTGATTAATGCAAACATTAATAATTGAATCTATATATATATATATATATATATATAACAAAAGGCAGAGAATAGTGAAACATTCAAAATACTAGAAAATGTCATTGGTTAATGCAAACAGTAAGAATTGAAATTATTAATTAAATTAGTATAATATGGTAAATTCACACTTTTTATATTAAAAAAATTAAAAATTAAAAGAAAAATCAGATAATGAATTCTATTTTTATGGAACACAACTACCCATTATCTTTTTTAATTCTAAAACTAAATTATTTTTTTTTTAAACCTCTCGTAGGCGTAGAAGTGCGTGCGGAAAGGTTAATACTCAAAGAAAATGAATAATATTCTTATACGCATATTATTATCAAATCAATCATACTCAAAGAAAATGAATAAAGCATCTTTTTCAACAACAAAAAAACGAATATTATTTTTTACTTGCGAAGAAAACCAATTTAGGCCAATGAAGAAAAATAAAAATAAATAAATAATAAATAAATAAAAAAACTAGCCCACAGTCATTTTCGTAAGGCAGTACGTACACTCACAACCTGACAGGCCTACAAAATCGCACCCATAATTCACATCAACTTGACAATGAGACTGATCTAAGTAATAATGTTGTTTGAATGTTGGACATATTAATAATTTCATTAACGGCATTTTGTACTTCATAAAATTGTTGCGTAATGAATAATAGCTTGTCATGTCGGTGAAACAGTTTTCTAGTTCTATTTTTCAATTTACTCATAGGAAAACAAATAGTGTTATACACCGACTTGCTCGATTCGGTAAGTATAATGTGGACAACTTTATTTGATTTGAGGTGCCCTTGATCTTATTCAGGACGTCCTATTATGTGGTTTGTTGAGTCGCGGTTTGGCTTGTTGCACCCCGTTGTAATTTTTCGTTTTATTAATAAAATTTCCTTTATTCCGTCGAGATTCTCTCAAAAAATTAATATTTGTAATCAGTGGCAGATCCACATTGGGGCAAGAGGGGTCAATTGACCCCTGCAAACCAAAAATCATGGCTTGGGGAAAAGAAATGTGACCCATGTTCTTTTTCTTTAAAACGGTAGGCCTTTCTTAATTTGCAGATGGTGGCTACCTCGTTGCAGAGGCGCTGTGTTAGCGCGAGGAAGAAGATGAGGATTTCTGACCTTTTTTTGTCTTCTCAAAACACACTGAACGACGTCGTGTTCTAATCCATTAAAAAAAAATAAAAAAAGGAAGAATGATGCCATTGTCACGTGGGTAAAGCCCACTAAGTTTAGGTGAAACGCGCATTTGGTCTTTAAGTTTTTTGGTCAAACACGTTTGGTATCATTTTGTCTTGTAATTAAAAACAAATAACAACTTAATGGGCTAAGGCCTGGTTTCATGATAATGGTTAGTGGGTAAATTATTTAAAAAGCTTCATGGGCCAATATAATGTGTTAATTTAATAATAATTCTTTCTCTCTTTTTTTCCCTTCTCTCATCTTTTTTCTTCTCTCTTTTCCTTCTCTCTCTCTCTCTCTCTCTCTCTCTCTCTCTCTCTCTCTCTTTTCTAATTGAAGGAGACACGACATCAGCTTGAAATATTGCAGGAAGAGAATCAGAAGTTATCAAAGATAGTAGATTTTTTACTCTATGGAAATGCAAGAGCAGCTGGATGCCTTGGATTGACCGGATACACGTGCGTGAGGAGATTCAAGTTTTGCTAAAACTAAGAAAGTGATATTTGGAAGCTTGAGTGATGAGCCCTAAGAAGCAGTGCGAGAAAACCCGAGAAAGGAGATCCATATGGCCAAACTAAAGTCTCCTATTGTAGAATCAGGAAGTGCGACATACTGTTGTTGTTTTTTTTTTCAACTTGTATGTGCTTAGCTTTTGTATGTTTTTAAATTAATTAATAATGAATATTGTATGTCCTTATCTTTTATATGCTTTAATTAAGTAAAAAAGATTGTTTGGTTACTTAGTTTAGTTTTTGTGTGTGTTAGTTTTTTTGTTATTATACTTAGCCAGTTCGATTTTTGTGTTAATTTTCTTCACATTTTTCGTCATGCAATCTTTGTAGATTGGTTAATAATAATATAGTGTATTTTAGATTTGTTTTAAAAAAATTGTGAAATTTATACGTTAACGCTCGAAGAAAAAATTTCTGAATCCGCCACCATTTATAATGCCAGAAGTCCAAACGGGCCTGAATTTACACACACCATTTTTACTAGCAAAAGTCTTATTGAAAACGCGTTTTTGCTTTCCACGCTCTTTTTGATAATTTGCCAAATTGAACTTCAAGTCGTCCGCTCTGTCCTTTTCATTTTGGCGCGTCTCTTTCCAAATCACTCATTCGTCCACTGGACTGGACTCTTGGCTTTTGGTCACGAGTATTCCAATAATAGCGTGTTTATTTATCAAAAATAAATATTAAAATTATTTCAATTTCTGTTTCTATTAAATTCCTAACTTTTATTGTATTTATCTACATAAATATTTGTAATCCAATACTCTCAAGATAAACAAGCACCGGAAATTGTAACAACTAAGGCAGTATTGATTCAATTTCAATTTCTTTATTTTCCAATTCTTAAGTTTCCTAATTCATAACTTGCTCTGTTCGTAATAAATAAACATGCTCTGAAATCATTGTCGAGTCTTATAAAAAATGATGAGAATCTGACCATCATCAACGTGAATGTAACTACGCAGTATTATAAATACGCTCATGCACTGGCGGACCCAGAAATTTTTGAGCGGAGGTGCAATATTGACTAAGTATGAAAATGGTTTTTCGGAATAATCATTTTCTCAAGATAATTTTTGGCGGCTTTTATTCCTTATACATCAAATAAGAAAATTTGAATTTATGGGATTTTAGTACGAAGTATATATTGACTTAATGAGCCATCATTTTTAGCTTAAATTGTATTTTGCACTAAAACCGAATTTTCATATTTTGATTTGGTGGGAATTTGATTTTCTAGTATTTTTATTTGAATCCAAATGGGGGGTACTTCCTTATTTACATTGTAAACTTAAGTAAATGGAGTAATATAAAAATAAATAAAAGTAAAAAGACAAAGACATTTACTTAAATGTTGAAAATGGAAATAAGGTAATCTGTACACCAGTTGAGCAAAGGGGCAATTTGAAGCACCTACAATAGTTTTTCCGGCGAAAGGAGGTGCAGCTGCACCTCCTTGCACCTTAATAGATCCGCCTCTGCGCTCATGTATAATTATCACAGTAAATATTGTCTTGTCGTACTAAATTAAAGAAAAAAGTTCATCATTTATGAGGGTGTAGAATAATTTCTCCATATACCTCATAAAAAATTAAAGAAAAAAAAGAAAAAGGAAATTCAAGCACTCCGTCACTTGCGTAGTTACATTCACGTTGGCAAGAAAATAAATTTAAAAATAAAAAATAATAAAAACAGAGTCTGCAAATCCACTGCATCTTACTTTCTTTCTTTTCTTCTATCTATCTCTTTCCATCTCTCTCCATGCCACCTCTCACCACCACCCCACCATCGTCTTCACTTTCTCTCTAAACCTCGGAGGCTTCTCGTCACTTTCCCGGGAAATCAGCCAACGAGAAAATTTAAAAGAAAAGTCCTTGCAAATGGGCCGGAACTCATCGTCTCCTCCAGCTATCCTCGACGACAATGGCGGTGCGGGAGGTAACGATCGAGGCTTCCATTCGATTCGCGGTCGCTTGCCCGTCAAGCGGAACCCTAACCCTAGCCACCACACAGACCAGGCCAGGGCCTACACGGATCGACCGTTCCCGCGCCCGAGATCGCACAACACCCGCTTCTATCGCAAGGGCTTGTTGTGGCTTTTTCCCTTCAAAGGAAAGTCGGTGTTCTATGTCGTCCTCATCTTCGCGGTCTTCGTCTTCGCGGTGGCCACGATGGTGTTGCAGAGCTCCATGACTTTGGTTTTCAGGCAAGGAAGTGAGAGAGGGCGGTTGCTCAGGGAAGGCTTGAAGTTTGGGAGCGCCTTCAGGTTCGTTCCTGGGAGGGTTTCGAAGAGGTTCGTGGAGGGTGATGGGCTCGATCGGGTTCGCATGGAGGCGAGGATTGGTGTTCGGCCGCCGAGGCTAGCTCTTGTGAGTGTTATCCGCTCGCTGCTTTTGCTTGAATTTGGATTGGTTTTGTGAATTTGAAATTACAGTTCTTAGTGGAAATTGGTAAATCGTGTTTATCCAAGTGTGGTTGATCTCTGTTAATAATTTAAGTAAGCACTTTCTGACAATGGGAGCGAATCTGGAACTGGTAAATGCAGTCTACATGAATGTTTGATTTCTGAGAAAACAAAGGAAAGAAATGAGCTAGAATATGATCTTTTCCACTCTTTTATATCATGAATGCTTAATGGTTGAATGATTTTTTATCACCTGTTTCTGCTGAATTAAAAGTTTAGACTTAAAAAGTACTATGTAACTTTAGGTGCTTTGTTTTGAGCGGAGGCTTGCAGGTTCTCAAGTCGTAGATGATGAAATATTGAAGATGCCGAGTTTTGATTTATTTTATTTTTCTGAATTCTTTGAGTATTACAAGTGTCGTACAGGTTATGATACTAGGGTATAAGTTGGGAACTCTTGGGGAAGCAGCTCTTGGGTTTATGAGAATATGTGCAAAGATTCAGACAAGTAAAAATGGTCTTGTTGAGGAAGGTTGGATTTGTGCATTTAAGGAATTGAAATGAAAGGTCCATAGACTGCTGGTACTTTGATTCTGATCCGAAAAATATTAAATTAATTAGTTGACTTTGTCTCTAAAATTCTATTAAGAGCAGAGTTTGTAATTTTCTACATCAAGTCATTGATGTTACGAAGATGTAATTAGTGTTGCAGTCACAGTATTCACTTAAAAAAACAGGATAACTGCGTAGAAGACGTTTTTTTTTTTTTGGCTATACGAAACTCATTGATATCACTGTCTTCCAAAAAAAGTTGAAAAAAAAAACAAAAGAGAAAGAAACACTGATTAAAGTAATTTTTTATTCTGGTCCAAAATAAGTAGAATTTTTATCGTTACCTAGCATTAAGACCTGGATTTTATGCTGTCCATGGAAAGCTCTCTCTAAGGAAATAGTAGAGGTTATTACACCACGTAAGGGTAGGTTACAATGGAAAAAACAATTCTGTTTCAAAGGTGTGGAGATTAATTGGAATTATCGGAAGAAAAATGCAAATGAAAAGTACTTAGTCCATAGAATGACGCTATCAGAAAGGAGTTTATCAGGGCGGCAATTGAATTGCGTTTTTCTGAGAAGGTTGAATGTCACCTGTGTTGCTTGAATCTTTGAGATGGGATGGTGCAAAACGTGTTGTATGCCCAAATGGCTGATATGGTGCAAGCAGAAAGCTTGACTTTCCATGTGGATTATGATTGCTCCTTCACTTGCTTAGTAGAGTGAGAAGCCAATTTAAAGGAAAAGTTCTTTCATCTTTTTGCACTATGTAGGAAAGTGATGTGTTTATGTATTGGGAATTATATGTTTAATTTAAAAATTTTAGAACATGAGGTTAAAAATAATTTATTACTGGTTTCTTATAAATTATCAGTTTTATCATTGTGCGGTACCTGTAAATTGTGTGTGTTTAGATTCTCTTTTATGTTTCTTGGGTATTGCTGGAGTCTTTAGTAAGATCCTCTATGCTTCGTCAGGTTCATAGAGTTAAATCTGCAGCCTGCAGGTTTGTCTGATATAAGCAGATTTTACAATAAATAACTATTTGTTTTTAGTATAGTGTCTCTGCTGAATGTTGATGCAAATAAGAAGCAAATTTTATGATAAAAACTATTTGTCTTTACATGAAGTAGTCCTCAGATCCTTTTTGTTTGACTGTATATTTACATTTCTGGTAAACCCATTTTGATAAATAGTCTAAATTTATTGGTCGCTCAAATTCAAAAACCAAACTTTGTCCTTATACTCTATTTTCCAATTTTAGAGTGGATGTTATTTAAGTTTTGATCTCATTGGTCATGATTTCAAAAAAGAATTTGGCTGTTTGAAGCTGAGCTAGCTGTTGAAGTTTATGGTAGTGTAAGGAGCTTTCAAATATATTTTTCGCTCGAATAACTAGTAAATCTCTACCAGTAACTTACAATACCAATGTTACTTATTGGAAAACAGTCCTGTTTGATCTCTGTTTCATCGCATGGAATCTGCGGCTTTCTAATATTAAAGCATAGATTGGCTATTTGTAAGCTTCATCTTCGTGTTTTATGCTGTCTCTTATGTCAATCTTCTTAGTTTGAGATACCAGGTTCCTCTATTTCCGTGTATTTGTGTTAGCTTAGAAAAGCTTTATTGTATATGCAGTTTTTTTCTTTTATTAACTAATAAGATTGATGTTAGCAGCCTTCCATTGTTAAATCTTATTTTCAGTTCCTGATCAGAATATGGAACTGCCTCAATATCATTGGATACCATACTCGCCAGAAAAGTCTTTCTTATTTTAATATATTTTGTGTACTGAGTTGTTTTTCATATTGGTTGTGCCTGCTTTTGATACATGTCAGATCCTGGGAAACATGAAGAAAGATCCACAATCATTGATGTTGATTACTGTGATGAAGAATATCAAGAAATTGGGTTATGAGCTTAAGGTAAGTTGTTCTTACATGTGCTTTTTTCTATTCCTTTTTATGAGAAACAAAATAATTTTCTCAATATAATACAGAGATATGTCCAAACTTAGTAAGAAAGTGTCTGAAAATAAATAAAAGACCTAAAGTCCATCTGCTAGAAACACTCATATAAATGCTTTAGTATATCAAATTAACATTAGAAACTGGCTCAACAATATCTTAAGAAACAGCTGGATGAATAAAGGAAAGGTATATCTTGGAATTCAGAGGAAAATGAAGTCCGCAACAATGGCCAAAAGAAAACAATTTGTTCATGGTTTTTAATTTGTTGTTGGTGATTTGCGAATTATTTAATTCTTTGCTCATTGAGGTACATGGTGCCAATAGAGAGAGAAGAAAGCAAAAATTTTGTGGAAGTGTTGTCTGATGGTTAGAGAGAGAGAGAGTGGCTTCACTATTACTGGCTGCTATTCTTTATCTTATTGTGGGTACTGCATATGCTGCTCCTTTTTATATGGGAAAAAAAGAAGGTGTCAGTGCATATGGATATACGTTGTGTTAGTAAAATTAGTGATTCATAAAAATAAATAACTGTGTTCTCACTACTACTTATGCCCTCTTTCAATGCCTATATGACAGATCTTTTCTGTAGCGAAGGGTAAAGCATATAAAATGTGGGAGCAACTTGGTGGCCACATTTCAATTTTAGCTCCAGAGCATTGTGGCCTTATTGATTGGTCCATGTATGTTTGCTTCTTAATTTATATCGGGGTTTTTTTACCCTAATTTATAAATGGTTTTTCTAATTGGATGGAAAGTATTTAAATTTTGTTTACTAGGTCAGAGTTTTTCTATTCTTGATCAACGAGTAACTTTAATTTACCCTTTTCGTTTGTTCGCGAACTTGGAAAAATATTTAATACATATAATTTTCTACAGTTTTGGAGGTGTTATTGTGGACTCGCTTGAAGCAAAAGAATCCATGTCAAGGTGGGTTGTTTGACATTCCTTTTCTACCATGCTGAATTCTATGATCTATAGTTATCGTTAAGAGGACTTCCCTTGCATGCAATACCTGCTTGATCTGATTGACACGAATCCAATCATATTCCATCTGATAGACAAAAAAGTATTTTTGGTGGTTATTCATATTAATATCTTGAATTTGTAATTGCTCTTCAATAGCAAGAAAATTTAGGTGCAAATATGAAAGTTGAATGTTGCTGAGAAAATCTATGAGCTTGTGTTTGGAGTAAAATTGGAATATAGGAGTTAGTGCCATGGCGTTAGGATGAGATGTTAAGAATGGTTGTAACAGATTTAAAGAGTATATGAAGTTTAAACAAAAGCTATACTATATTAAATTGTATTCTTATTCGAGTAGACAAAAATAATATTTCGTATTGTTTGCCTCTGTTCTCAAGCAATATTGCCTGATGTTGTAATATATGATGGGTACGATGATGATTTTGCTGAAGTATTCATGGCAGTGAATCCAGAGAATGAAAAAGAAAAATATAACAAAAGTTGGAGACAACTTGAGAGGCAGTTGTCATTGTTCAAGCGATTTGTTTAGTCCAAAAACTTATTCTGAATTCCTTGTTATTTTCATTTTGAGATATAATATTGATGGGCAGTAATTATTTAAGCTATGATTTAGTCTATGAGCTAATTGAAATTCTTTGTCTATCTTCAATTTTCTCGGAAACAATGTAAATGTGTTCACAAATAGGTTTTTTTCCGCCTTCCTTCTCTTTTCTTTTCTAACGGCTTCATATAAAAGATAAAGGCATACTCATATTAAGACTGCACATAACAAAATGCATATGCAAAGTTGCTTCAGTTGGACATGCTATGATTAGTGAGTTTTAGATTCATGCAGCCTTATGCAGGAGCCATTTTGTTCAGTACCACTGATATGGATAATTCAAGAAGATACACTTGCTAATCGTCTTCAATTGTATGGAGAAATGGGCTTGAAGCATCTTGTTTCTCATTGGAAAAGGGCTTTTAATAGAGCTAATGTTGTTGTGTTTCCAGATTTCACTCTGCCGGTAGGTCTGCAAAATAATTGGTTTGCACCTTGTTTCTAATTATTTTTGCAAATGATTTTTCTATTGGTTCTCACATTTTCTTATTTTTATCCTTCCATCCTGTATCAGATGTTATATAGTGTTCTTGACACTGGAAACTTCTTTGTCATTCCTGGATCACCAGTGGATGTTTGGGCTGCAGAAAGGTACAGTAAAACCCACTCCAAGGATCAGTTGAGGAAAAGCAATGGATTCGAGGAAGATGATATGTTGGTTGTAGTTGTTGGGAGTTCATTCCTCTACAATGAGCTTTCATGGGACTATGCTGTGGCAATGCATGCTATTGGACCACTGCTACTAAAATATGCAAGGAGGGAAGATGCAGGAGGGTCATTTAAATTTGTTTTCTTATGTGGTAATTCCTCCAATGGATATGATGATGCTTTCCAGGTAGTTAGTCTTTAATCGATGCTACTAGAATATGCTATTGTCCCAGTAGTTATCACATTTTGAGCTTCTTGCATCTTATATAAATGCTCCTGTATTTTCTTAAGCAAAGAATTTTCTTGGCAAATGATGACTGGAAAAAAATAGATTACTTTGCAATATGAATTTGATTGCAGACAGAATGACGATGGTGGCTGAAAATGAAGTCCTTTTGTATATTTCATTTGATACTCTGGTCAATCTTCTGATCTGTTTTACAGGCATTAGTTCATAGGACTAATATGAAATGCATTTTGATCCATTGATCTCTTTTGTAGGAAGTTGCTTCACCTCTGGGACTTCCTCGCGGTTCTGTAAGGCATTTTGGCTTGAATGGTGACGTGAACAGTATGTTATTAATGGCTGACATTGTTCTCTACGGTTCTTTCCAAGATGTACAAGGTTTTCCTCCATTGCTTATCCGTGCCATGACCTTTGGGATCCCAGTCATTGCACCTGATTTTCCTGTCTTGAAGAAATACGTGAGTTCCCTAAAACTCTTCCTGTATTCATAGTTCATTGATATGCTTGGGAGGGGTCTGTTTCATTGTCTTTTACTTTTGTGAAATTACAGGTAACTGGTGGAGTTCACATAAATACTTTTCCAAACCATAATCCTGATGCTTTAATGAAGTCTTTCTCACTTATGATTTCAAACGGGAAACTTTCTAAATTTGCTCGAACAGTTGCTTCTTCTGGAAGACTGCTTGCGATGAACCTGCTGGCATCAGAATGCATAACTGGTTATGCAAGGGTTTTGGAGAATGCACTAAATTTTCCGTCAGATGCTCTGTTGCCAGGCCCAATCTCTGAGCTTCAACAAGGTACATGGGAATGGAATTTGTTCTGGAATGAAATAGATTATACAACAGGTGATATGCAAGACATTGATGAGCAGTCATCCTTGGAAAACACTAGTGTTGTTTATGCTCTTGAAGAAGAGTTTTCAGGTTTGGCTTACTCAACAAACATCTCTGATAATGGAACATGGGAATCGGCACAAGATATTCCAACTCAATTAGATTGGGATCTCTTGACAGAAATTGAAAACTCTGAAGAATATGAGAGGTTAGAAATGGAGGAGGTATGTATTTCTGGAAATTACGGAACTTGTGTGATATGAGCTCAATCCCACCAGTTCTTCCACGCCTTTTTTAGTGTCAATGTAATCTTTCTTGAAAGACACCTGACACGGAATTTTTTCTGTATTTGTAGCTATCTGAAAGAATGGAGAGAGATCCTGGTCTATGGGATGATATATATCGTAATGCCCGAAAAGTTGAAAAGCTTAGGTTTGAAGCAAATGAGAGGGATGAGGGAGAACTTGAGAGAACAGGCCAGTCAGTATGCATTTATGAGATATACAGTGGATCTGGGACCTGGCCGTTCTTGCACCATGGTTCTCTGTACCGTGGATTAAGTCTTGTGAGTTTCTTTCTCCTGTTTCCTTTTTGTGTATTTTTACGCTGTTTTAATTTCTCACTTTATTATTCAGTATTTCTACTATTCTCTTAGTTACATCTCTGCAAGTCTCATGTTCTTTTCTTAATAATTCTATTCTGTGACTTGGATACATTTCTACTGAGAACTGCAATGAAAGCATTTAAACATGCTATAAATTACATAAAATATCTACATTTCGTAACAGATATAAATCTTTGTTTAAATACTTGAACTCTAAAATAATATTTTACATCTGAGTCAATTGCCTTATCCTTCTGAATTTATCCTACAATGTATTTGGTAGTCAACCAGAGCACGGAGATCAAGATCAGATGATGTGGATGCTGTTGACCGGCTTCCCATGTTAAATGAAACTCACTATCGCAATATTCTCTGTGAGATTGGAGGAATGTTCGCTATTGCAAACAAGGTGGATAGCGTCCATAAGCGACCTTGGATTGGGTTTCAATCTTGGCGTGCTGCTGGTAGGAAGGTATTTCTTATTGTGGTGGGAATTTTTCTTTAAAGTTATTTGTGAGTCTCACTGGGTCCCTCCCTGCAACGTGGTTATGATTCTAACCATCTATTTTGTATGCATCCATTTAGTGATTATCTGAGAAAAAAATCTACAAAATCGAAAACTGTTTAGTCATCTATTTGTCATTAATAAATGGATGAATGTTTTGAATTAACATAGAAATAAAATGATATTCAAATAGGTAAATAATTTCTAATTTGACTGATTTTTTGCATGGATGATCCTTGAATGGGAATCTAACAACTGGATGGTCCAGATCAAAGGATCACATTGTGGGGTGGACTGCAAGAATTAGAATTGGTCCTTTTGTTAACATGAGGACATTATAAGATTAGGACTTCATATTTATATGCATACATACATGCATATATTCACGCAAACCTGTCGGTTCTTTGGAATGGTTTTGGTGTCACAGAAAAATAAAATAAAATTATAGTTCAACTTGGATGCACTAATGAAAGATATCAGCGACAACACAAGTTTTGAACCTGGTATATCCTGATTCAACTGTATGTATATATGCACGTATACTTGAAGAAAAAGAAAAAGAAGAAAAGAAAATGTGTGTGTGTGTGTGTGTGTGAATGCGTTGTTCTTTAGTTTCGCATCATATTCATCATTGTTTTCCCCAAGCAGGTTTCTTTGTCCAAGAAAGCTGAAAAAGTTTTGGAAGAAGCAATACAAGACAACACGGAAGGTGATGTGATATACTTTTGGGGACGCTTGAACATGAATGGTGGGATGACGGGAAGCAAAGATGCACTCACTTTTTGGTCCGCATGTGACATCTTGAATGGGGGCCATTGCAGGTAGGTTTTATGAAATATTAGTTGAGCTAGTGTTGTTTGCACACATAACTTGGGTGACTTATAGCTGTCACTGTTTTCATGGGTTGCGAATATAATATGTGATGCCATGCTCTTAGGGGATATGCTCTTGAACATGAAATTCTTTGGTGAGGCAGCCGTATGCGACCACCTCTCACAGTGGGTGGGAAGGTGGCCACATAGGGCTGTGCTATACAAGAATTATCCTCTTGAACATTGGATTTTATGGCTGGTATTATGAGATTATGAGGTCCACTTAGAACTAAATGATTCCAGTTTCATTAGTATTACCAATTTTTTGGCCAGAGCATTCGCATAACTTTATAATACATTTTTGGATTAATAGACCAAACCACACAATTAGCTTTGTTTCAAGCTTCATAAAATCATGTATGAAAACAAGTTTTTTACCAACTACCCTTTGATATTGTCTGGCAAAAAAAGGAAGGTATACATACTCAAATACAGGGTTTTTGTTTTTTCAATGAATCAAAAAGATGGGCCATCAGTTTCGTGATGTGAGCATGCACAAAACGTTCATTCATAGACACTCCCATGTATTAATTGGGTGTTTAAGGTTTCATATTTCCACAATTCAATTCTGATTGGGTTTGTCTTGGTCCTATAATCATGAGTTTGATTTCATTAATTCATCAAGATCGATGTTCCTTGAACATAACTTTTTTTCCACCCAAAATGAATGCAGAAATGTTTTTGAACATGCATTTCGCTGGATGTATGCCTTGCCAAATAATACAGAAGCTCTTCCTCCCATGCCAGAAGATGGTGGTCACTGGTCTGCGTTGCATAGCTGGGTGATGCCAACTCATTCGTTCCTTGAGTTCGTAATGTTTTCCCGGTAATTTACTGAGGATCTGAAATCTAATAACATCTTTTGGTTTTATTCAGTCGCAGCCCTTGACACTAAAGGAAGTTAATGATGCTTAGTTATGAGAGTATTAAAAGTGAAATTTTGTATTTGAACTACAGGATGTTTGTCGATTCTCTGGATGCATTGCACACCAACAACAGTGGACAAAGCGTGTGCTTGTTGGGTTCTTCGGAGCTTGAGGTATGTCATGTAAGTCTTTAGGTATAGTTTTTCTGGTCCCACTGGGAGTTTAATTTTCCTCACCATTGTTTAATAATCAACAGCAAAAACATTGTTACTGTCGGGTATTAGAAGTCCTTGTCAATGTCTGGGCTTATCATAGTGCACGAAAGTTGGTTTACATAGATCCTATCTCTGGTTCAATGGAGGAGCAGCACCGAATTGATCAACGCCAAGCATTCATGTGGGCAAAATATTTCAATGCTATATTACTGAAGAGTATGGATGAAGATTTAGCAGAAGCTGCAGACGATGGTGACCATCCAAGGGAGAATTGGATGTGGCCGCTAACCGGCGAAGTGCATTGGCAAGGAATTTATGAGAGGGAAAGGGAAGAGAGATACAGGCTAAAGATGGACAAGAAGAGGAAAACAAAAGAAAAATTACATGAAAGAATGAAGTACGGATACAAACAAAAGACGCTTGGAGGATAGGAAGGTTATAGTTGTAGTTGAAATGGTCTAGTCCTAATTCTGTCACACTCGGAATTACGATATGGTTACTGAACTCGTCGACTTGGGAGTGGGAGAAGAAGACTCTCGAGGATGGAGGGTACGATTTATTCTTTCTAACAGCGACGGTATGGTTTGTAAAGAGGAATTTTGTAGGTCTTTTTCTCTGACTGAATATATAGATACTCGGAAGTGGGTGGAAGACAGTAGCTTTTCCAGCAATTGCAGCTCACTTAGCATGTGAGGCGTTTACACATTTCAAGTCGCAGAGGCGGAGGCTACCAAGTTTTTGAGCAGTGTACACAAACAGAGTATGAGGCTACCTAGTTTTTGAGCAGTATACACAAACATTCGTTGAAATTCTTTTTCACAATTAACATCATGTATTCATTTGGCAATGTTAATAGGAAATTTTGATTAAAATAAAGCAGTTCTCGGTGGTTCTTGTTTTGATTTTTTCATACACTGAACGTACAGTTTCCAGTCATTTTATTGTTCATGTCATCTTGGTTACACGTGTAATAATAGTGCCATGTTCGTGTTGAGAAGACTCGACGAGATTAATAATCATGTTGTGTTGATCTTGACCCAACTATTCTAATACATGCCTCTTTAACCAGACAAACTGTGCATGATTTAGTGTAATGCATCAATTTTCACGACAGAGGTGGTTAGATTACATGATGTTTTCCTACATCAGTGAATTGAATGTCCTCTTGCCCCTTGTTATTATGTCGACAATGGTAATCCAAACTTGAAAATATGGTCTAAGGTGACGGGGTGTGAGTGGTAAATGGGTTGTGTGGCGGGCTCTTTGCCCGGGCATCGGCCTATACAACTCAGTGATACATCAAGATGTATCACAACTTCAAAAGAAACACTAGCAAGGTTTCTCTCTGACAAGAACTGGCATGCAACATGTGAACTCGTAAGGCTGTATTTTACCCTAGCAATGGCATTAAGCAAAAAATCGGTCTTCATGCTCTTGGTTTAGCAACGTCGTAAATCTCAAATCAGATAAGCACTCATATTTTCATCCATTACAAATATGTGGACAAACAAGATACAAGAACACCTTCACTTTCGGTTGAGGAATGATTTAGCCTTGCGCATTTATATTGAGTTTGTTCATATTCGTCCTGAGTTCTGAGCTCCAATAGCATTAACATAGCACATACTATATTCTAGCAGTCCCTGTAAATGCCTGAGCATATCTCTAATTTGTTGTTTACAAAGGGGAAAAAGAAACATCCATGTTTTAAGCAGCAGACGACCTGAGATTAAAGAGGCTGGTACAAAGTTACTTTACAAACAATTATATATGGTGTTTGTACGTGGAATGAACTGAAAGTCACAGAAATTTCATGGGAATGAATTCTCATTGGTTGATCTGTTTAGGGCATATATTTCCTCTCTCTAGCTATCAACAATCAAATGGTTTAGTTCATTTGGGAATAGCTGAGTTTACGAAAGTTGGGCAGAAGATTTTCTACCTTGCACTTCTTCGTTTTTATCCGGTGGCCGAGCCCCTAAAAATCCATCAATAGCAACTCCAGAAGCCAGTGAGGATTGAACAACTATATCATAAGACTTCGGTGAGAGGTCAAGGCCCTGATTTTGAGCCGTCAAATATAAGTCATATGCAAGCCTTGGTTTACCTCCATTGGCAAGACCCTCAATCATCATTTCATATGTAACATTGTTTGGTGAAATGTTCTGATCCTTCATGCGCTGAAACCATTCATATGCAGCATTGGTTGAACCGTTTCGTACAAACCCACTGATAATGGCATTGTATGTGACAACAGTTGGCTCAATTCCTGATGAAACCATCTCATGAATGATGGTATCTACCATATTCAATTTTCCGTGTCCACTGAACACCGAAGCCATAATTGTGTAGGCATACAAGTTCGGTTTTACACCAACCTTAAGCATATGTTCCCACACCTGCCGGGCCTCATCATAGAGTTTTCCCTTCTCAAGGGCACTAAGCAATGCTCCATAAGAAAGTACTGTAGGTTTTTGACCTTGTTCCACCATTCTTTTAAAAATCTTGACAGCAGCAGAAGTTTCTGCAGCCTTAGAACAGGCAACAAGAACTGCATTCCATTCCTTACTTCTGGGTTTAAGACCTTTCTCTTCCATTTTGTTGAGCAGCCTGATGCCCCATCTCCAAATTCCTCTTTTTCTAGCTGCAGTCAGAAGAACATTAAAGTGAGATACTATCAATTCATATGACATGTTATTTGGCTTCGGCCCCCTGTCCAACATATCCTCATAAATCTCCAAAGCTGCCCACCATTTCTTAGCCTTCCCCATCAACCAAATTACATGGTTACACACAGATATACCTATTTCAGTATGCCTTTCTCTTATCCTGTTATACAATTCTTTTGCCACAGTATAATGTTCTTCACGGGTGCAAGCCCACAAAAGGCGCTCGTGTTCTGCCCAACCGAGTGGAACCCCAGCAATATCCATCTGTGCTAGAAGTTTTAGAACGTTGGTACTTAAGTTATCATCCTTCACAAGCCACCGGCGCATCACTTGGTAGCAAACCCGTTTTGTAAAGTTCTCAAGCTGTATAAACTCATGTTCCCAGTCTTCAACAGACTCTTTACTTATATCACCTTTATGGTACTTTTCTCTGAACTCGATGAAGAAATGTAAAGCTCCATTTCCATCTTGCATTCGTTGATAAGCCAGCAATGCTGTAGAATAGGATACTGAAGATGGAATCAGGCCCTTCTTCTCAATATCCTCAAGAACATCAAGGGCCTTAGTACTTAGTCCTTGCTCTATGTAAATTGCCATTTTAGTATTGTAAGTTACAACATTCAGTTCCACCCCTTCCTGAGTCATAGCACTCAAGACTTTGTCCATTTCTCCAAATTGTTTAGACTGCTTCACTGCACCCAAAAGACTATTATATATGAATAAGTTTGGGGTAATCGAACCATTAGTTTCTTCACTCTTTCTCTTAAGCCATTCAACAACAGCAAATGCAGAATCCATCAATCTGTCTCTTCCGAAACCCCTGATCATGGATGAGAATACTTGAAGGGGCAAATCACCCTTGTCCTTAAGAACCACCTCTACATCATCTGCTGTTTTTGCGAACTGTAAGCTCAATGCTAGCGCACGCACATCAATCTTGTCATTTTTCTGCTCCCAATTCACTCCTCGATTTCTTACATCTACTTCATTTTTATCTTCACCACCCTCTGCTCCATCCACAATTAGATGATCAATACCCTTACGCTCACCTTCCCCTGACAACCTATTTTCTGATGTGGATTCTTCTATAACAATGTCATTTCCAATTGCTTGTTCTTCCAATGCCCATGCTACTACAAACGAAGCACCAAAGGAACGCTTCTTAGACTGACAAATGCGAGCAGGTTTAAGTTTAGAGTACCCAGAAAAACACCCACAACCAAAATCGAATTTTGGGCTTCCACTAAAAGCCTCAGCCCCAATAGCCCCTGAATTGCTAGAAAGTAATAATACAGCACCACTTCTACCATAACAAACAGGAAAACCAAGGCTCCACATCTTTTTTCTTCTTATCCTAGTACTAAATTTACAAGAAGAACCAAGTTCAAAGCCTAACTGGGGCACTGCCCAGGTTTCACCCCTTGAAGGCCAAGTGACCAAAGCTTGCATTTTCCATGAAATTTACAGGAAAAGAGAAACAACCCAGAATTGTATATCCTGTGGAAGAGTAGGATCATAAAGGTTGTCATTATACAAATTTCAACATAGTTTTCATCTTTAGAGAGAGAACTTAAATGAGAAACAACAACTATGAGAGATGTGGTTACATACCTGAACTCCAACAACAACTGTTAGTTTGATTCTGAGTTTGCGAAATTCCCAGAAACTGTGAGAGTAGATTCAAAAGGCGAGAGAGATAAATTTGCAATCTCGGGTTGTGCCACTAATAAACCAAGTGAACTTCCAAAGTGGGTTTTGATTTTATTTCTCCATGGTGCTGTGGTTTTCTCACAGCCATTCAATTGTAATGAGAAGAAAATAAGAGGTGAGAGCTACAAATGAGTCAAACAATTGGAAAAAATGGGAAAATGAAGCAGGCCAGGCCCTTCCATTTAACTTGTCTTGGGCTCAATCTAACGGACTCAGTTATTTATTCTGCCCTAATTACCCATTTACCCTCTGCAGAATGGTTGTCGGGTCGGGTGCGACCCGATGAGTATTGTGATTTTACCATTTACCCCCTGTTCAAGTTGAAATAATTACACACCTCCCGCCCTCTCACAGCTTTACCAATTAGAATGCTGCCACTCAACACTCGACAGTCGTTTTGTTTTTTTCTATTTATTTTGTATTTCCATTTTGGCTTCTTACTCTCTCGCTCAGTCAGCCTCACTGTGTTGTAGCAGTAGGGTTTTGAAAAACCCCGAAACCTAATCTCTCGTCCTCAGTTCAGGTAATTCTCTCCCTCTCTGTGCTTCTTTCGTTTTCCCAATTCTTAGGTGCTTCATTCTGACCCTCATTTCCAGATTTTTGCTTTTTTATCGCCATCTTTTGTGATTAGTCTGTTTGAGTTTACACATATCTTGTGGCAGTTTTAAATTCTTCAGTTCTCTGAAATTCATGTATTTAATGTTGGGTTTTCTTGATATATCTCTCTTCTTATGTGGGTTGCTCTTGGCTTCTCTTGATGTTGATGTCTTTGGATTGTTTGCGTGCTTAAAACTGCGACCCTTTTGTACACACACATGCTATGTTACTTTGTATATGTAGCTGATGCTCTATTTCTTCAATTAGTTACCAAAATCTGGCCCATATTAACTTGTGGCTATTTTAAAAATCATTCGGTTTATTTATTTATTTATTTATTAGTACAAGCGATAGTCTAAAGTCTAAACTAGAGAGGGGAGGGGGATTTCTCACACACACATACACAATGAAGATGCCATGGGGGTTCAAACCTAAGACCACCAGTCTCCAAGTCTAGCCCCTTTTTCCACTGGACTAGACCCCTATTGGCATCATTGGGTTAACTTCTCCGGCCTCTCTCTGCACTCAAAAATCCATGGAGCTAGACCAGTGAGCTATTACGCTTTCTCCAAAGGTTGATTTAAGAAAAGATTCATTGTGCTACTTTATTATTGTGTATTTTATTTATTTATGATTTACCCCGTTTTCTTTGGGTTGTCGGAGCCCTCTTAGGTGAGAATTCTTGTTGGTGACTGTATGTTTTGCCAAGTTTCAAATAAATTGTAGGAAACAAAATAAGTTTGTATTTTGAACTCTCAAAACATCAATTCAAAATTATAATAAACCAGAGTTTATAACTCTTGAAAAGTGAACTTACACTTCTATATTATGAACTTGTTTTAATACTCATATTTTGATTCTATTTTCAAGTTGCACGCAAATCATTCATGCCATATCCCCTACTGGTATATCCATGATAACTTCCTGAAGCACTGGGGCAACTTTTGATTTCATTTGCTGGGGTTTTTGTTGTTATTGTACAAAAGAAATTTTTGTGTAAGTTTCGACATTAATATTTCCCCTTATCTCCCTGTAGTCAATAGCATAAAGGTAGTATAAGATTTTCTTTCTTTTCCTTTCATCACCCATGATTTGTTTGAGCTTGCCATATTGACTGATGTGCTTGTGTATAATAGTACATTCAAGATCATTTTATTCTGAAAGGGAAAGTAAGACTTAGAGCCATGGTGATTGTGATGACGAGTCATCATTGTATATCTTTGAAACGTTACTTACCCAAATGATTAAAGTTATATATTTCTCCAGTTTGGTTCTTTTTAAAGTTCAGTGTTGGCTTCATTTGTCTTTCCTTACTACTTGATTTGTTGTATCTCAATCAATTCTTTTGTTTTTTGTTTGTCTTTGAATTTATTTTATACAAATTTATAAATAAACCCAATCCTAGACATGTATTTATAGAAAAACCCAAGCACTATTTAAACATAGAAACACACCCAAAATCAACCCCAAAGTCAACTTTTTGGGTGTGTTTATATGTTTAAATAGTGCTTGGGTTTTTTTATAATTTAAGCTTCCATTTTGGGTGTTTTAGTGAAACTCCCTTTATTTTATTTTAATGATTCCTGACTACCATTGTTGTTCAGAGCATTTTTCATCCTATTAATAATGTTGTCCTTCTGTTAAAATATGAAACAGATTCGTTATTAGAAGACCCAATTTTTGGACATTTGCATGTTGGATACCATTTGTGATTGAGAGACATAAGTATTCAAGTAGTGCCTGTTTTGATCCTTTATTCTAATTACTTAGACATCATCCAAATATCCAAAATACAAATAAGATTTCACAAGTGGCAAATGAAATTTTTTTTATTTAATGTAATTTTTTTGTATTAAATTGTTATTGTCTATTTGTTCTTTAGACATTTTTAAATGCAATGTTTCTGTATCTCACATAGCTTACCTGCATGTAGGTTTGAATTTCACAAGTGGCGAACTTTGTGAATGTAATGCATGCTATAAAGGGTGGCTGGGCAGGGCGTACATTTGCCCTGGCTAAAAACAATGAATCTGAAGGAAGGAAGTCCCGAATTCGGCGTTCAAAGGAGGAGAGGAAGGCAATGGTTGAATCCTTTATAAAAACGTAATCACATTATATGATTATAGTTTCTTTGTTCAAAATTGCTGCCGTTCTAACTTACTGAGAAAAGGATGTAAAAATCACTAATCTGTTAACCCATATAGTTCTGAAGAAATCTACTAAGATTATGGGCACCAGTAATAAATTTGATCTTCTCCCGACCCTTTACACAGGATAATGAAATAAGAATGAATTCTATATGCCTGTATCAAATTATCTTAAATTGGAAGCTGTTGACCAAGCATTACCTCTCGTCCCTTATGATTGTTTGGTTTTTTGACTCTTTTATTCTTATTCAGCAATATACAACCGATACCACTGCTTTTGGATGTCTTTAAGTCATGGTCCGTTTTCTACATCTGTGTTTATTGCTTCTGGATGAGCTTATGACCAACTTTGAAGATATATGCTTCCTTCCAATTGATTGCCACCCAAATTGTTTGACGTACAGTGCATTGATATTTTTTATTTTACCTGTAAGAATAAAGAAAATTTATTCTGTCTGACCACTCTTTTAAGGACTTTTTATTTTTATGTTTCTCAAGTTCAGGTCAATGAACAGGAAAAGCTAATAGTAACCTTGATGTTTCATAGGAATAAAACATATAATTGTGTCGTACGTGCAATATTGTTTAGTTGGACCAATTTTTATAGGTATATGCAGTAGTACTGTTGCCTGTTATAAGCTTGAGGGACTATTAGGATATAATAGTGCTACTATTGTATTTTCTTAGTCGTAAGATTTTTGAATATCTATTTTCCATTTGTGAATTTCTCAAGGAAGCAGATAACTGCAACCTGTTTAGTGATCTTGCTTACAGGTATCAGAAACTAAACAATGGGAGTTTCCCGTCACTTAATCTGACCCACAAGGAAGTTGGCGGGTCTTTCTACACCGTACGAGAGATTGTCCGAGATATAATCCAGGAAAATAGAGTGCTGGGTCCTGCTAAGTTTACTGCAGAGGAGCGGACCATTGATCATTTCTTGGAACAAAATCCATTGGGTTCCATCGCAACAGAACCACCAAATGCTCTGTCAATATCATTAAATCAATCTCAGTTTATCTCCAATCAAAATCAGGGTAGAATTGAAGAACTGGTTTTCACATCGGATGGGCATTTAGCTACACTTGAACGTCAGAATTGTGACAATGGGAAAATCATCAATGGTACTCAAGTTGAAGTGAATAACAAAGAGTTTGAACTGAAAAGTACAGAGTTACGAGTAAAAGGACCAGTGGAAACAGAGAAGAATGTTGCTGAAGAATCTGTAGTTCATAATGGGGATTGTATTGGGCCTGAATATCAGATGGTTGACAATGGATTAATCAATGGTAACCAGGTAGATCTGAAAGACGAAAAAACTGAGGAACTGACATGTACAGAGCTACAAACAATTGAACCTTTGGAAGCAGAGAAGAATGTTGAAGAAGTTCCGGAAACATCTAGGTCTAAAGTGACTCCTATAGCAGCCGATGTGATAGTGGAGACATTTCCATTAAAGCCGGCTAATGAGAAAAGTGAGAGCTTGGATGGAAGGTTACAAGAAGTAACCGATTTGGCTATACCTACCAAGGATCGAGTAGAGGAGAATCTTTTAAGTCCATTGCTTGAGAACAATTCCGGCTCACTGGATGAGGAAGCATTAGGAAATGCCAGAGATCCATCACTTGAAAGCTCAAATTGCTCAACCTTTAACGATGGTGTTGTGCGTGAAAAAGGAAGCACAGACCTTAATGTCAAGGCACCTCATAAAGATGTTCCGACATCTGAGATCTTAGAACAAAGTCAGCTGACCGCTGGGCCTAAGGTAGTTTTATATTGAATGTCTATAGATTTTTCATAATTGTTCTCTTAATTATTAATATATAATTAAAAACGAAGTGTCAATATGGTCATGTATTTGCATTCTTGCAATTCATGATTGGTTGTGCCCTCAATTTTAATATTGTTAGTCTAGTTCTAGTAATGATGTTAACACTGCTGGTTGGAATTTGCTTCAACATTGTCTCTTAGATTGATAGTAAGGATTCAATTATCCATACCATATTGAGTGCAAAATTCTCTTTTGCTCTTAACAATAGTTGCTTTTGTTCAAATCATGTCGGAGTAGAAATTTCAGCTTCAAACTATTGTTACTGCATTTTTACAGGCTATCAAAGCTCCAGATAGCTTACATACGAACAATATAAATGGTACCGGTGGTGGTAGCGAGCTGTCAAAAACCAAAGAGGTGCTTGTGATTGAAGACGAAGTTGATGTTCAATCCAGCGGCAGCATGCAGAAAGGAAGCAGCCCAACTTTAGACAGAATTAATCTGTAAGTATATGTTGTAAACCAACGGAGTGTTTGTTTTTCACTTACAGAACTAGGCAATTTAACATTCTTGTTTAGGATCATTAATTTGCCTGGTCGATTGTTTCTCTTGGCAGTGAATCATGGGAAGGGAGATCTAAAAAGTCGGCAAAACCAGAAGGTAACCCACTTTGGGATGTATTTAAAGCGTTTATAGACGCGTTTGTGAAATTTTGGTCTGAATGAACTTAAAGAGTGTAGTTTCAGTTTTTGTTACTGGTGAGTGAAACAAGGAGTTCTGTACCTGCCAGAGTAATTTGTGATTTCACTTGGGTTAATTGTGTGGCCTTTCATTAGACTGGTTTTCTCCTTTCCCATACTTAACATGACTCAACCATCTCTTCATCTTTCCATCTGTAAATATATTTCTTCTTTTTTTGTATCATGGCATCAGTTCTTCTACCAATTACCTCCTGAACAACGTTACTATATGCAAAAAATTCAAATCAACGTTACTATATGCAAAAATTTCGAACTTTCTGTGGCAACCACGTTTGATCGAAAATGAAGATTATCAGGCTGATGAGTTTAGATTGTGCTATAATTGTGAGTAAAATTCCTTATAAAATAATTACTCTGCGTTCTTTACATGTATGGTTCTGTTTTAGGTTTTTAGCACTTTCACTCGAAGTTAAACATCCTTACACTTTACAAGAATTGAACTGGTTTCGAAACAAAACTAAATAGTTCTCTTATGCCTCTACTCAGTCGAGGCTGGTTAAACCTAACTATCGGTACACTAGGAAAATCATCCAAAAACTCCATAATGTCAGAAACAATACTAGGACTGAAAGATTAAAAGCTGATTTCTGTAAATTTATTTTGTCACGGTCCATATTCAGCCTAAACTAAATCCAAAGAGGCGAGCTTTATTTTACATGATCAAACAATTAAGCCTTCAAGTCTGTTTCAGTAACTTCTTGTATTGGATTTAAATCCAACTTTTTAAACGCAAAAACAGAATTTGAGTTCAAAATTCAAAAAATTTGTTTGGTAGATCTAGTTTTGAAAATCTGAACTCAAAAATAACTTTAAAACGCCCAAATACTTGAAAACATAAATAAATAAATAAATCTGCTTTTTTAGATTTTTTTTATTTATAAAAACTGTTTTCAAGTTAGATACCAAACAAGTTTTTGAGTTTTAAAACATGGATTTTAGAACTCCTTGTTTTTAAAGTTTTTAAGTTTCCTATTTGAATAGAATACCAAACAAGTTTTTGAATCTTGACGTTATTTTGAGAACTTCTTGTTTTTAAGAAAAATCAAAGTTTTGAGTTCCCCACTTGAATAGGATACTAAACACCCCTATAGCTTTCCAACTACCGGGATATGCGAAGAGAACTAAATCAAACTTCTAAATCTGAACATGAACACTTCCATTTCCGTTACTTACAACACAGAGCTTTAAAAATTCCTGCTACAAGACATAATTACATAACTTCCATTTACAGTCTTCAAGTATGGTGGCAAGCTAAAAGCTCCCAAAAAAAATTTAGACAACAAAAATACCCTTGTAATTTAAATAATACTAATTCCCTTAGATTGATGGTTAGGCCTAAGGATTGCGTGACATTTTTTCTTACTACTAACCACCATTTTTTTTTACTTTTGCTCTCTTTGTTACAAACCGAAGATGATTAAACTCTCTAGATATGATAACATATGACATATACATGGGTCTTTCAATTCAAGTAATGTTTTCAAGAAAATAACATCTATGGCTTTCTAATGAGCCGATCAGGGCAGACCAAAACATAAATGTTCTTATTGTTGCTATAAGAGGCCGGGATCAAATCTCTTCTTATTTCCCTTCTTTAGGGTAGGGTGAATTAAGGAGTACTGAAAAGAAACAAGTTCAAAATATTTAAGTGACATGGTCCAAAATGAAGTAGTTTTGGCTGGGTCTTTTAAAAAACAAAAAGACCTCGCGTGCCTGCAACAGGCAAGACAAGCTTCACTCAGAAAATTACACAAACATCTGATGGGCA